TCATAAGAACTTTCATCCTCAGAACAAGGTATTAAGTCTTGAAATGTGTTTCCCTTTCAGTCAGTCATTCATACAGTCAATCAACAAATATTTATCAAAGCCTACCATGTCCCAAGCACTGTGCTAGTGCTGGGGTACACCGATGAACAAGACAGAGAAGGACCAAAGAGGCCATGAAGACAGAGAAACAGGCTAGGGATTTTATTTTATTTTTTAGTTAATTGAGAACTCACAGAGATAGAGTACTCAAGGAGGACCTCTCTGAGGCTGCCTGTGACATTTAAACTGAAATCTGAAGCAAATGCAAAGTCCCTGAAGTAGTGAAGGACAGGGAAGACCAGTGTGCAGAGGGCCAAGATAAGCCTGGAGAAGAAAACTAGAAGTCATTGATGGGTTTCAAGAAGGGGAAGGACATGATGAAGCTGCACAGGAGGTGGAAGTAAGGAAATGAGCTACAGAGCGCTTCTGCAGAGTCTCAGAGGAGATGCGGCTGGTGCATGTGCAGTGGGAAAGAGAGGGTGGGGCAGATAGATAGAAGGTGTATTTTAAAGGAAAAAGAAAAAATAAAATAAAAAAGCAAATAAAAGATGTATTTTAAACATTTATTTATTTATTATTAGCATAATCATTCTTACAAATCGTGATATTTATGTCCTTTGCCCTACCTATCACTTCCCAAACCCCCTCCCTCCTTCCCCCCATCTCTAGTATCCTTAGGATTGTTCTCTTCTTCTGAAAGTTCAACGTATTGTTGTGGTCTTTTCTTTCTTTCTTTCCTTCATTTCTTCCTTCTTCCCTCCCTCCCTTCCTAGCAACCAGTTATGAGTGAGAACATGTGGTATTTGTTTCTTTGTCTGGTTTATTTCACTTAACATAATTTTCTCCAGACTCATCCATGTTGCTGCAAATCACAGAATTTCATTCTTTAAAGATGTATTTTGAAGTGGAGTTAACAGGGCTTGAAAATAATTTGACATGGGGACAGGATTGAGAAAAAGACATGTATTATTCAGAATTCCTAGGTTTCTGGCTTAAAATTATTTCTCTTGGTTTTTCTCTTTAAGGCCACAGTGGAGGCAATTTAAGCCATTACCTTCTTAATATATTTATTTGTTTACTCTGTCCATCTACAATAGTGCTATTTGTTCAATAGAAAAGTAATTCAAGTCACATACGTAATTTTAAATTTGTTAGTAGCTATATTTTAAAAAGAAGTGAAATTTATTTATACATTTTACTAAATCCAATATATCCAAAATCTTACTTCAATTGATGAAATAGTTAAAAAAATTTTTTACTACTAAATCTTCCAAATCTAGTGTCTATTTTACACTGACGGCACATCTCTATTCAGACTAGCCAAATTTCACATCCTTAATAACCATCTGTTAGTGGCTAGGTACTGAACAGTGCAGATCTGTAGTACAAAACACTAGGGGCATGGACTGGCCAGTCTGGTCCACTGTTTTATCTCCAGCAACTAAAAAATTAATTGGCAGATCCCTTTACTGACCAGCTGTCAAAAATTAAATTAAATTTGGGGCCGGCCCCATGGCGCACTCGGGAGAGTGCAGCACTTGGGAGCGCGGCAGCGCTCCCCCCGCGGGTTCAGATCCTATATAGGGATGGCCACTGCGCTCACTGGCTTAGCATGGTGCGGGCGACACCAAGCCAAGGGTTGCGATCCCCTTACTGGTCACAAAAAAGACAAAAAAAAAAAATTAATTTAATTTAAAAAATTCAATGGCACAGTTAGAAGGTGAGGGAGCTTGGCAGAGGAAGCACCAGAGACAGATCTGGGGCTTTCAATAGGCCAAAAGTTCTGAGAGGGACAGCAGCAGGGTGAGCCTGGTGACAGCAGAGCATCTTCAAGAGTCCTCTCCTTGAAGCTCTAGGGCTACCTTGGTTAGCAGCCTCCAATTCTGGCACCTCTCACTGAGCTAATGAAGCCAGCCTGGAGCTGCTAGTGTTGTCAGCACCACGCTCTCCCAAGTGAGCCACGGGCCAGCCCTTGACACATTTTGAATGAGTAACTAAATGCATAGTGATGGGGGGCTTATTGGATGCATTAGTTTTGGGGTGGGGATCAAAGCTTCTATTTTGGGCTAGTTAAATCTGAGGCATCTATAAGACATCTAAGTGGAGATGTCAAGAATGGGGATATGATTCTGGGACTGAGAAGAAAGGTATGCAGAGAGATATAAATTTGGTACATCAATGGGTTCTAAATTCAAGGGAATCATTGGATTACCTTAGGAAAGTGTATAGAGAAAAGAAAAGGGCCCAGGACCTTACCCTCAGAGACACCAACATTTAATACTGAGTGAGAGAAGAGGTTTATTAGTCTGTTTTCTTTTTTTTTTTTTTTCTTCCTTTTTTGTCTTTTTTCGTGACCGGCAACGGATTGCAACCCTCAGTGTCGTGCCCACACCGGACCGGGACCGGCAATGGGATCGCAACCCTTGGCGTTGCACCCACACCTCGCTCAGCCAGTGAGCGGCTGGTCTGCATGTGGGATCCGAACCCTCGGCGGGAGCGCCACCACGCTCTCAAGCGGCGCACTGTAGCAGTGCGCCACCGGGCCGGCCCATGTTTTCTGATATTTATAACAGAATACCTGAAACTGAGTAATTTATAAAGAAATAGAATGTATATCTTACAAGTCAGAGTCTGGAAAGCCCAAAGTCTAGGGAACACATCTAGTAAGGGCCTTCTTATGTATGGTGACTCTCTACAGAGAGCCAGTGTATCACATAGTGATAGTTTAGGCAAAAGAGAGCTAAAGCAGGGACTGGCCGGTTAGCTCACTTGGTTAGAGCTTAGTGTTGATAACATCAAGATCAGGAGTTCAGATCCCCATAGCGGCCTCCCTGCTCCTCCACCCTAAAAAACAAAAGAGCTAAAGCCATCAGAACCATGTCCATGACCACTCATTATATCATCAATGAGTCAATACCATTCACAAGGCCATATACCGCACAATCGAATCACCTCTTAAAGGCCCCACCATTCAACTACCATAATTGAATTTCCCACCTCTTAATACTGTTACAGTGGGGATTAAGTTTCAATGAGTTTGGGGGGACACTCAATCCACAGCAAGAGGAAAATCAGGGAAGTGTAGTGATGTCAAGATGTCAGAGCAAAGAAAAGAAAAGAAAAGAAAAAAGAACATACTAATAAAGATATCAAAAGAGTAGTGTTTCAAGGAGAAAGCAGTGGTCAACTCTGCTGAGGGGTGAAGGATAAGGTAAAAAAAAAAAAAAGATCAGTAAGATAGGAGCATTGAGATCTTAACAATCCTGCCACACAGAGAGAGAGCTTTTTAACACAAAGAAATCTGGCCTCAGAAAGGTCAGGAAGCCCAGCTAGTTTATTGAAGACCCAGATCTAGAACCCAAGACTCTTAGTCCAGGATTATTATAAGAACCCGTGAACGTGGAGGTTTCTGGAGGGAGCGTGCCTGTGACTCCACCTGGTCTAGTTGGTTGGAGAGTAGACAGACAGTTAGCAAATCTTTTATGTATGGAACTAGACAAAGATTACGTAATTGGGATTTCTTGCCAATCTCAAAGTGCCTTCTGCCCTTCATTTATAACACCTGAAATTTTGAACACATTGGTCCTCATAGGACCGCATTTCTCCACCTCTCTTAGGCAATGCTAGTCTTCTCCTGCAGGGCATTAATGTAAATTAATAACTACTTTATTCAAGACAAAGGTCATTTGCAAATATTTATCAAATATGTTGATGTAGACAAGTTAGGCTTTCTCTGCTGACCTTCCAAAACACAGAGAATGAAATGATCTAGTCTTAACTCTATGGCTAAGTAGTTGTGTGACCTTGAAAATGACTTTACCTTTCCTGTGCTTCACTGTTCTATAGACAAAACAGAAGCGTTAAATCAGACAACCCCTAGTTCTTAATTTATGATCTAATGTTATACTTTATTAAGGTTCTGTCCACATACTTACTTCAAATTTAGGGCTGGCCGGTTAGCTCAGGTGGTTAAAGTGTGGTGGTGATAACACCAAGGTCCAGAGATCGATCGCTGTATCAGCCAGACACATTAAAAAAAAAAAAAGATCAGTGTGAGAAGACCATCTTTTAGGAAATCAAGAAATCTAGGAATGAGTTCCAAGTTCACCACCAGATAGACGTGTAATCACGGAACGGGAACAATCTCACTTTTCTCATTTCTTGAATGGGAAGATAACCTTCTTGCTCAGGGTGGGTGTGAAGATTGAAGGAGGTAAGTCACGTGCATGTGTTCTGTAATCTGCACAGTACTAACGAAATTGGAAGTGTAATTATTGTTAAAGTAGGTGTTTGAAATACTATATACACCACTCCCAGCTGAGGTAGGCTGAGTCCCGTTATTTATCCTCCGGGCGTGTGATGTGTTAGTTGTGCTGAGAAAATGGTAGGTGATGTTACTGGACCACGCTCAGTGTGAGAAACAGAGAAGGCTGTAGAGTCCTGATGTCTCCAGGGAGCGCTTATCTTTGAATTTTTACAAGAAAATAATGGAATACACTAAAAAGAAATCAGAAAGAAAGTGGGAAGGAAGGAATTCACAGACAGAGGAGGAAGAAAAGCGAAGACAAGGCAAAGTTAGGAAAAATAGAAGGCGAGTTAAAAGCAATTAGAGGGATGGGGAGGGGCAGTGGGCACCAGCAGGGCAGACGCAGGAGCCAGTCACACTGGGGGTGGGGTGGGCAGCGAATGAGTGGCTAGTGCAGACACTTGCCAAGCAGGCACCAGGCGGGTGGGGAGGAGTAGGGGAGGGACTTGGCGAAGGGCAAAGGCAGGGCAAAACTTAAAAGGGAGATGACCCGAGCTGGTGGATGCCACCAGTGACCTCCAACAGCCCTGGGCAAGGGGACCCCACAAGCGATAAAGGGAGGAAAGGCCGAGCCGCTGGGTCAGTCCCCGGCTCGCGAGGGAGGCACAACGACCGGCGAGGGGAGACCCCTCGGGGCACCCGGCACCCCGCCACCATGTGCGAGCTGTATAGCAAGTGGGACACTCTGGCGCTGAGGGAGAAGCACATCGGGTAAGGGCTCCCTGGTCGAGGGAAGGCGCACAGCGGGCGCACTAACGAGCGCAGAGCACGGAGGGCTGAAGAGGGGAACGGAGTGCGCCAGCGAGCGAGCGACACCAGCTCGCGGAGGCTCCGCCAGGGCGGCAGTCTGGGGTGTGCGCGACACCGCCCCCGCCGGCCGCGCCTGCGCACGCG